GGATTTTTCTTTCTTTTTCAATTTATGTTGCGATAAAGAATTTTATATTTAATCCCGATTTCGATTTACAAAACAAAGGACAAGTAGATGTCAAATCACCCCCTCCCCTTAAAAATTAATTTTTAATTATTAAATCTGTCTGCTAGTTTCAGTAGTAAAATCAAGTTTTAGTCAGACAGAACATAACTTATATTTCTTATAATAATTACTAGAAAAATTATTTTAATAAATTAAAAAAGTATGGAACGAATTAAATTCAGTATATTAAAGGATATTGAGAAATTGATTTTGATTTGAAAAAAAAAATCTTTTTAATACTTGTCGTATAAAGAAGAGGAAAAAAAAAATTCGTTTCGCTTTATCGTATAACTTGACACGCGATACGTTGTGTACCTGACTTCATACTACAACGATTTGAGTAGTCAAAACGTCAGAATCTTAAAACACTACAAACACTCTGAAATAACGATCCGAGTTTTACCCTTATGCTCGCTTTTGCCAGCAAACAAGGGAGTTTTTAACACTGAATGATCCCTGAGTAAACTTGGGGGCGTACGTCGACGTTTTCATATCTTTCATATAGCCATTGCAAAATCCCTCTCTTTCTCTCGCTCTCTCTCCTTTTTAACCGACTCTCACTTCTCACTTCTCACAATGTCGGAAAACTGTTTCTACAGTGACCTGTCGATCTCACATGTACATAAAGTCATAAAAACAATTCATTCTTGTTGTTACGATCGAAATTGACTTTTTCATCGCGATGAATAATTACAGTTTCTTTACAATTTAAAAAATAGGTCTTATCTTGACCTGAAATTGTTTTTTTTATTTTATCTGTTTTTCCTATTTTTTTCGATATTATTTTTATTTTGTTTTATTTTCTATTTTTCTCATTGCATTATTTTCTAAACGTGGAAATTATTAGGTTTTTTTGGACAAAATATTTTTATTTAAAAATATTTCTTATTTCAGAAAATAGAAAACTAAATTTGTAAAATTATAAGATTTTGGCAGAAAAAATATTTTTATTTAAAAATATTCCTAATTTCAGAAAATAGAAAAACTAAATTTGTAAAATTGCTAAGTTTTGTCAGACAATAAATTTTAGTTTAAAAATATTTCTAATTTCAGAAAATAGAAATACGAAATTTGTAAAATTATTAGGTTTTACTTATCAGAAAAAATATTTTAATTTCAAAATATTTCTAATTTTAGGAAATAGAAAAATGAAATTTGTAAAATTATTAGGATTTGTTAGATAAAATATTTTAATTCAAAAATATTTCCAATTTCAGAAAATAGAAAAATTAAATTTGTAAAATTTTGTTGTAACTAGTAAAATTTGAGTCAAGCCAGAGACATATAAAAATGTTTTTTTTTTATTAAAAATCAAACCTTTAACGTCTGAGTAGTTTGATTATAAAAATGTTTTTTTAATAATACGATAACAATTGAATGAAGAAAATAATTTGTTAATAATACGATAACAATTGAATAAAGAAAATAATTTTTTAATAATACGATAACAATTGAATAAAAAAAATAATTTTTATTAAAATTGATGTTATTTTCGAAGAAGTAGAAGAAATGAATTTTCGGCATACACAAGGCGATTTTTATTTTTTTTTTAATATTAATAATGTTAAGTAGTAAAATTTACGTCCTACCAGACAAAATTAACAGAATTTGGTTATTTAATATTTTTAGTGTCAATAGCAAAAATAGTTTCTGTCAAACTAACCAAGAAACGAATTCTTATTTCGATGACAGTAGTAAATATAAATTAAATTTAAAAAAAGCAAAAAAAAAACCTTAAAAATGTGTTTTCAGTACTAAAAGTAGGTTTTAGTCAGGCAAATAAATCTTTTTTTGTGAATTAAAGTAAAATGAATTCTCATTCAGACATAAAGCATTGTAACTTAATCGGCAGTAGTACAAGTTGATATTAGTCAGACAAGTACAAAACAATATTTTATATTTGTTTGTTGCAGTAGTAGAAGTATTTTTTAGTCAGACAAAGAAAAAATTATGTAATTATAGTAAAAGTAGTAAAATCAAGTTTTACTGAGACGTAAATTTTAACTAATTTAAGTATCAGTAGTCACTCTAAGTCTGAATTAAAACTATTTTGCAAAATGTCTCTAAAGTTTCTTTAATTTAATATTAGTAGAAAAAGGAAGTTTTGGTCAGACAGAATTTTCATTACAGTTTGTGCTTAAATAGTTATATCAATAGTTGTTATTAGTACTATACAGGTAGTTATAAATTTTTTCTGTTGAAAGTAGTAAAATACAGTTTTAGTCAGACGAAATATTTGAAACAATAAATTGTTTCTTAACACCGACGTATTTTTGATATAAGAAAAAGGGGTTTACAATATCACTTTATTGGCACTTGCGTTTAATTCGTGAATCAGGATACATTTGTGAATTGTAATTTCACGAGATGTAGGTTGTTGTGAATGATATACCTCGAGACAAGCAGGGGTGAATCGTTCTTCCAGCGTGTTACACATAATGCCTCATAAACAGCCCCGAAAATGCCTACAGCCATTCCCCAATTCAAGTTGCCAGTGTTTTGTCCCCCTCAATCTTGACACCTCGACGGCAATAAACTTCAGCCTCATTAGTATCGTTAAACTTTTGTAAGACTTCATTCATGTCTCATAAAAAAATTTTTTTTTTATCGAAGAGAAAAAATATTTTTTAATCGAAGTGAAAAAACATTTTTTAATCGAGGTGAAAAATAAATTATTAATACTTGTAGTAGAACAAATAATAATATAATTTTTATTAATTCAAGTATTATTAGTACCACTATTAATAATATTATTATTAATTATAATATCAATGATATTAATTATAGTTCTACTAATAATAATGGTATTCATAGAAATAATATTAATAATTTTTTTAATAATTTATTTCCTCTATAAAAGAAGAATATTCTTCGTTTTCTACTTTACATTTACAAGATTGTTTAGACTATTATGCAAAAAGGAATTATTTATGGAAAAAATCTATTCTTAAGTTCCATTAAAAAAATTTAAGCGACGATTTAAAAATACTTATCGATAAACTAGTAGTACAAGTAAATAATAGTCAGACAAAATTGAAAAACACCTCTTCTTGGAAAATACATAGAAACGTAGTAGTATAACTAGATTTTTGACAGAAAAATCAATAAAAATTCATTAAGTAAAAAAAAAAAAGAAGTAAAAGTAAATTTTAGTCCGAAAAATGTGAAAAAGTTCCTCCTTAAAATTTCTAGTAAACTAAAAAATGACTGACGAAAATTTTATAAAGAAATTTTTCTCAGTTATTTGGAGAAAAAAAATCTACTGCTAGTAAATATGGAGTAAAAAGAAAAATTTAAAAGACGATTTTTAAAAATGTTTATCATTTAAAAAAAGGAAAATATTTAAATCTCAAAGTCTGTTGATATGGTGAAAGTTATTTTAATCGTGGGGCAAAAATTTTCTTGAATGAAGTCCAAAAATTTCTCTCACAATATAAAGGAAAATATATTCGACGTCTCTTGGAACCTTCAGTTTTGTTGAATATTACGGGTGGCGACGGCGGTAAGCCCGTTAAATGTCGTGGTTCACCGTAAAAAGCCAGGACGTTACCACCCTGGTCTCGACGCCATAAAATAAAACTAGTCATTTTTGTCCTCATATACATACTATATATACAAAAAATATATAATATGTATAAATTTTCAGTGGCTCTGAGCCAGAAAAATTGATTGGCGAGAACAGTTACTTAAATATCAGCTCAGATATTTTTCCACTAGAATGGATGAAAAAAATCCCTTACAGAATTATTCTAGTAAATTTTTTTATTTTATTAAATAGAAATACATTTTTTTAATCATCTCTATTATTTTATTATTTAAAAAAAACAATGAAATATTTTTATTTTTTTATTTTTTTATTAAATAATAATCTCTAGAATTATTTAATGTTTTTTTTTTGTTAATTCCTTATGCTACAAAGTAGAATTTTATATTTTAAAAATAAAGAAAAGCAGAAAAAGTAAAAAAAGATTTTATTTTTTCTTCAAATGTTTAAAAATTGAAAAAATCGATTTTGAAATAAATTCCTGGGGAAAAATTTCAATTCTATTTTAAGAAATTTCATTTAAAAATTGATACGTAAGATTATTGAGGGGAGTATCTTTGATTTAAAGAAAAAGTGGTTTTCAGTTGGGTAAAAAATGAGAGGTCGGTGGTTGACTGGATTGAATTTAAATAATGCAGCCCGCTCAAACCGAGAAACCAAACACTGGAGCCCGCATTTTTATCGCTTTTAATTCACTGAATTCGAAAAATATTGCTCGAGAATGAGCGTCAAGTATTTTATTATTTAACTTTAATGGTTTATGATTTACAATTCGACGAATTCAATTTGCATATTTTATTTAAGTATATCAGTTTAAAACATCGCATACATTTTTCAATTAATTTCTCTTTTTCGTAATTATCTATAATTATAGTAATAATTGCTTTTATCTTTAAATAATCAACAATCAATAATCGATAATAAATTATAAATTATAAATTATAAATTGAAAATAAGCAATAATATTTCTTTTTTTCAATAATAATTGTCAAATTTACAATTATTTTTTATTTATATTTATTTCTGTTTATAACTAACCCTGTTTTTATTCTTTTCTGGTTATAAAGTATTTTCTATTTATAAATTGTTTTGTTTATATATATATATTTTTTTGTTTATATATTTTTTCTTTATATATTTTTTTCTTTATATGTTTTTTTTGTTCATATATTTTTTCTTTAAATATTTTTTTTCTTTATATATTTTTTTATATATTTTTGTTTACATATTTTTGAATTTAGATAACTGTTTTGTTTTCCATAAGCAACCAAAGATTGGTAATTAAATTTTACTTGAAAACTGTAATAAATATTGTAAATTTTTATTAAAGAATTTTTTGAATTTTTTCCATTAAAGAACTTATTTTTCTTATAAATAGGAAAGAGTTTTACGTTAACGATCATGCTGCAAACGACGCCACCCCAAATAGCCACCCTCTCGAAGGCGATAAAAGTGACTGTCGACGGTCCCCGAGAACCTAGATCCAAAACAAGTGAGTCTTAATTAAAAACTAGCGTCATTGTCCTCGCTCGCTAACGCTCGCTCGGAAGACATTTTACTTATTTATTTCCATTTACAAAAATATTTATTATTATACATTATATTTTAATATTTCATATATATTATATATTTAATAGCATATTTATTGTTAATGTATATATATATATATATATATATATATATATAAATAATTAAAATAATAATGTATAATAATAATAAAAAATTTTGTAATTATTTATTTCTTTACCAGAAATTTATTACATAAAGAAATAAACGATTTTAACATTCTAATTAATCTAATCTGTTTATAAGTAATATCTTAATATTATTATCCTGTTCGACAACTGTGTAAAGCAGGTTGTGTTTCAACTGCGTGTAAGTAAATGAATTAATTAAAACTTTAATTGCGAATGAAAAATCTTTTGTTAAAAATATACTTTTTTTACATAGTGTACTTTTTTACTACTAAAAATTATTTTTTTAAATCTGTTTCAGTTTTTATGTATTAAAACTTTCAGTAATATAAATTTTTCGATTAATATTAATCTATTATATTCAATTATTGTTACTTAATTATTATTTATATTGCTTATGTTGAGTATTAAAAATATTTTTAAAAAATGTTTTTTTAATTATTAATTATAAATTTGTTTAAAATTAATTTAATTAATTGTTTTTAAATTAACAATTTGTTTTAAAATTTAATTAAATTAATTTTTTATTTATTTAATTTAATAATATTAAATTTTAATGATAAATTTTGTGATAAATTTATATAAATCGTTATAATATATAAACTAATTGTATTTGTAAAAGAAATATATTCAAACAATATTATTAAATAGGTAATTATATAGAATGATAGAATTGATAATATTTATGTTCATTACTAATATGAGTGTAGAAGAAGAAAGTTTGGATTTTTTCATAGGTCAGTTAACATCGCTTACTATGGGTAAGTTTATTTATTGTTAATGTTCTTTGCTTTATATAAATTTAAAATAATGAATTAGTTATTGTTATTTTTTATAAAATATTATTTATTATTATATTTAATTAAACTAGTTTTTTTAATATAACAAGATTCTTTTGTACTTACAAAGTTTTGAAAATTAGTTATATTTAATTTTGTAATAAATAAATTTAATTTATAATTTTTTATTAAATTAAAAAATATTAAATTAATACAATTTATTTCTATAAATTCTTATAAGTAAATGTCATTTTTTATAAGAAGTAAAAATAAAAATTCATTTTACATTAAAAAATTGTACAATACTCTCTAAAATTAAATCAGTGGATTCTTACAAAATATTTTTTTAATTAATTGAATATAATAGATTTTGTTAATAAAAATTAAATTAAATTTTGTTAAATTTTGTTAATTAATTATAATTACCTCACAAGTACTAAAATTAATAATTAGTAAAAAACTTACGAATTACAGTATTAGTGCATGTTATTAATTAATTATAAATTATTAGTTTTTTAAAAACAACGCAAAATGAAGAAACATAAGTTTTGACGTTTTTGATTTAATTCAGTAATACTAAGACGGAAAAAAATTACTGCACTGATTAGTGAAAAGCTCTTAAATTACTGATTCATCAGTCAAATATCTGAGTACTGTTTCATTCAGTGGTATTTTCACTGATTCAAATGTAGAGAGTAAATTATCCAAGAACTATTATTAAATAATTAAATTTGTTAATTTTTTCCAAATTAACTTTTTTCATTTTTTTAAAATTATTAGTTTTTATTATGACATTTTTAATAACTTTAACAAATATTGATTTCAAATTTTAATGATTCATAATTTTTTATGACTATTGTAGGAGAAGAAGAAAACAAAAATAAAGAGAAGAAAGATGGGGATAAGTCAACATCTAATGACGAAAGCAGATCTACCCATAATCATGATCATGCTAATTCGACTCCACCTTTTAAAAGGAAGAGTAATAACTATTATAAATCGAGATATTTTTATAACTCAACAAATCGGAACTATGGGAACAACTACCAGAACAACAAACAAAATGCTTCACCTAGATGGAGAAAAAGTAACTATTATTCTTATACTAATAATAATATTCTTATACAACTTCTTTAATAATACTTTTTATTTTTATTTTATATATGAACTATATATATATATTATACAAATTTTTATATTTTATTATTTCGATCATGTTTCAGATAATTACAGAGGGACGAAAGGAGGGAAACGTCATCGTTACAACCGTAACTTGAATAATTCCAAAAAGATTGAAAATAATTTAAAAATGTTATTTTCATCTATGTTGCAAGCAGCGAAAAATATGTAACGATCAATAAATAATTATCTTGTGAAAACTATAAAGATATGAAATTTTATTATTTCATTTCCTTTATTAATAATCTATTAATATACTCACATAAAATATATTATAAATTTATTTTAAATTATTATAAATTAATTAAATCTAAACAAATTTCAAGTTTAATTTTTTAAGTATTTTATTTTAATTAATTTTAATTTCTCTTTTCATATTAAATTGTAATAATGAAATTATAATTTTTTAAAAATTATAAAACAAACAATTCAATGTTACACAAATACTTCAAAATTAATTTGAACATATTACGTTCTCTTGCAATCAAAATATTGCTAAAGGTTCAAACATTCATTTAAAGTTATGTAACAATATTTAAAAATGTTATAAACAATTTTTATAAAAAAATAGTTCAGGGATGGAAGAAAAAATTTTTTTTCACTTTTTACTTGGTTTTTCATCCGAATAGATATTTAAAATAAAAATCATCATCTGTAACTATTCACCATTTTTTACAATGTTATAAACAATTTTGATAAAGAAAAGATATTCTGAAATTATTTAAAAAATTTTGTCAATGTTATAAACAAGTTTACTAAAAAGAGTCAGTCAGATAGGAAATAAATTTTTTCTAACCACTAAACTGTTTTAACTATAATATGAAAACTGATGTGACAACCGTTTATTCAAAATTTATAAACAATTCTTAAACATTGTAAAAAAGTTAGGATTAAGTGATTAACATTTATTATTCATTTTAACTGCAAAAAGAAATAAAAATTGATAAAAAGAAAATTTTTGTTTCCACTTTGGCCTTCAAATTTAAAATTGTTTATAAAAATTGTTTATAAAATTTTTAAATAATATTAAATAACATTAAATGTAAGTTTGAACCTTTAGCAATATTTTGATTGCAAGAGAACGTAATATAATCAAAAAATAATTGTTTTCTAGGATTCTATTTCATGATTTGCAAATTGTTTATAAAAATTGTTTATAAAATTCTTAAATATTGTAAACAAGTTAGAATTAAGTGACTAATTTTTATTATTCATTTTTACTGCAAAAAGAAGTAAAAATTGATAAAAAGAAATTTTTGTTTCCACTTTGGCCTTCAAAATTCAAATTGTTTATAAAAATTGTTTTTAACATTTTAAAAAAAAATTTTAAATAATATTAAATAAACGTTTATCTCTTTAACAAAGATTTGGATTATATACATTGTTCACAAATTTTTTGTAAGCAGTAGATACTTTAGTTTTCTTTCTAATGACAAAAGTCATTAGAAATTCTACTTGTGCGGTAGAAAAGCAAATTTTTTTCCACTCTGAAAATCTTTTTTTATAAAAATTGTTTATAAAAATTGCTTATAACATTTTTAAATGTTGTTAAATAATATGAAATGAAAATTTAAACCTTCAGCAACATTTTGATTACAAGAGAGCTTCATACAATCAAAAAATAATTTTTCTCTAAGATTCTATTTCATGTTTTGCAAATTGTTTATAAAAATTGTTTATAACATTCTTAAACATTGTAAAAAAGTTTGAATTAAGTTATTAACTTTTAATATTAATTTTTACTGCAAAAAGAAATAAGAATTGAGAAAAAAAAAAATTTTTTTACCACTTTGGCCCACAGATTTAAAATTGTTTATAAAAATTGTTTATAAAAATTGTTTAAATTATTGTTTTGTTTGTTTTGAGGCGCCAATTTGAAATTAGAAAAAAATTTTGTTTCGGCATAATGCCTATTTGATAGTCCCAACATTTTGGACGCGATATTTTCATGCTCCGGATTTTTTCCAACCGTATTCGAGTAAATAATCTAATTTTAAAGAAAAAAACACTCAAAAAAACAGCTTTTTTTTGTTTAAACAATTACAACTTTTTATGATTAACTAGAAATTGAAATTTTCTTTCAGATTCTAAAAGAGGACAGTCAAATTTAAAAAAAACCTATGTCCCGATTTTTTCCGAATTGGTTACTCGTAGAACGTAAAGATCAAACTTGTACAAAGAAATACGGTATAAAAAATTTATTTTTAACTAAAATTCTTCATTAAATCAATTATTTTTAATAATTTTTGAAAAAGTTCTTTGAGAAATTTTCAAATTCATTTATTTACAATTCAATTTTACAAAAATTCAATTATTCGTAAATTCTTTAATTAAATATATATTAGAAAATAAAAACTTTAAATAATATAAAAAAATCCGCAATTAAACTTTCTTAGAAAAAATTAATTCCACAGAATTGTTAGTTAAAAATATGCAAAATTCAGATTTTCAAATATTTTAATTTGAAACTTTTTTAAAATGGAATTATTTCTAAAGATTCACCCTATAATGCTTTTAAAATTCAATTTTTATGTGAAAATTTTACTAAAATTCATTTTTAAATCAATTAAATTTTTTATTAGAAAATTCTACTAGAATCCAATTATTTAAATACAAAAAATACAATTTATTGAATAATTGCATGTTTCTTAAAATTGAATTCTCCTAAAAAATGATATCAATAAATTTTTAAATAATTGAATTCTTTTGGCGAATTTTAATAAAATTTTCAGGAATATTTACATTTTTTGAGGAATTCGATTAAAATTGTAATTACTTATAAAAATAATTGAATTCCTAAAAAGAATTTTATTATTTATAAAAATAATTGAATCCTTGTA